CTATTTTTAGCATATATCACTTCTTCCATTGATACATTTGATTTATGTTTTCACCTCTATAAAGCACACATAGACATCATCAGAAGAAGGTGAATGTACGGACAATTGCGCCAATTATAACTGAGTCGAATCTTAGGAAAATATAAGAGGACAATATTCTCTGTATGTGTTCTTGACTTCTTGCATTCAAATGCGGTGGATCTGGGCAGTCTTTGGATCAAATCCAAGCTTTGTAAGTGCTTTGCTTTGTGCATGTCAAAGAGATACTAAGAAATTAAACAAGATGGACATGTAGAAACTTTTGTGATTTGATTTAGAAAAATGCAATCCAAACTCTGTTGAGAAAAGAATTCAGTCTTGACTTGCTCTTCTTCTGCTTTATACGAGGTACAGAAGTATTTTTCTCCTCACCAACTTTTACTTTTCTGATTCATATGTATGTTTTAGCGATTTCAAAATTTTCCAAATTGAAAATTCAACATTATCGTAATGCATCAAAGCTTAGCCTCTCCCAGAAAGGCTAGTGGTTGCATTAGCCGGTATGATGCACTGGTATATAAGTGATATTTATTCAGAGAGGACAGGTATAGTTACTACAGCTTGAGTTGGTGTCAAACTTAGTAACTCGAAAAATTAGAAGACAAAATTGCTTATTAAAAGAATGATATGCATATTGGTTTGTACATTTTGGAGGAAATTAATCTGTTCAAGCATGTCACTGTAAACTAGTGCTGATGCGTTCTGAATCAGGGCAATATCTGAGGTGCTAACAATTGACAGGGAAAAGTTCTCTCTTCCCCAATTCAAGTATTTATGTGTTACCTTTTCAGCATCATAAATGTTGTTTCTCATCATTAGCTGCAAAATTTAATGGCAAAAAGTACATGTGATAATTAGAATGTGGTTAAGCATGTCTTTGTGAATTTACCTTGATGTTTGACAGAGCCAAATGCTGGAATCTCTAACCAAGTGGATTTGTTTGGACAAAGTTTGGTTGGTGACCTGTTGGATGTGCCGGCACCAGTTTCCACAAACATGTCTTCAGTGAATATTAAAACACCGGAGGTAGATTTGTTTGCAGATGCCACTTTTGTATCTGCACCATCCCATGTAGAAGCGGGGGGAAGTTTTGAGGCTCAGGTCAGATTTTTTCTTTTTTTTGTCCCTACCATCTTTGGAGTTATCACAAAACTTGCAACGTTTTTGAAGAGGTGACTTGTATGTTAGCCTTCTTTTGAGGATGTGAGGTTGCTCCATTGTGAGGGGATGATAAAAGTACAAATGTGGAAAACAATTTGAAAAGCAACTTTAATCGACAGATAACGATAAAAGTTGCTTTAAAGAGCTGTTTGGGGCCTTGACCTTCGTGTGAGTGGGAGCTGTTTATGGTAACCCTCTTACAAGAAAATTATAGGAAAGGCACCCTACCAGAAATTTGCTGGGTGCTACCTTTTCTGCAGTTTCTTCCGCTTTAGTTGCTTTTGCAAATTGTTTTTTCCCCTATAATAGATGTAAAATTTAGGACATACATACTATCAGACAAGATGCCTTTTTGGTGGTGACTACATTTTTCACATGAGAATATGCTTGGTCCCCTTCTTTTTTTTTTTTGGTTTTGAAAAAAAGATAAAAATAGTACTAATAATATGGTAACAATTTGGTCGAGTACCATCATTCAAGAGCACCATAATACCTCAAAATTTTTAGGATTTCTAGATATTGCAAATAAATCTTTACTGGATATGAAAATTGTCAAATTTTGGGCTGAGGTAAGGGTGCACATTCTCCTCTTATTCAAAACCGAAAGAGATGGGTTTAGGCCTTTTTGGCCCTCCTAAAGATGACTTACGTTTGTAATTCTTTAGGGAAAATTGACATTAACTGAATTTATCTTTCTGACTGATCTCTTGTACACTTTGCAATGTGTAATTTTGAAGTAATAAACTGTCTGACATTAATTGGATTCATAATGCTTCAGCAAAAACATTCAGCTCCTTGGTTCATGGTTGAATGAGGGATGGTTAATTTTCATATCATACTATCACTTGATTCTGTACTTATTCAATTCATTCACGTTTCTGCAGACCAAGGTTGATCTATTTGCCTCTCAACCTGCCTCTTCCTCTGCAGTTTCTTCAACGGTCGACTTTTTTGCTGTTCCTGATCCAGTTGTACAGCCTGAGAATAAATCTTTAAAATCTGATCCTGAGGCGACTAGCACAATTGATCCATTTGCATCCGTTCCGCTGAACAGTTTTGATGGGTCCAATCTTTTTGGTGCATTCACATCTAATAGTGATTCAGTGTCGACAGAACCCTCACAAAATCCTGTCGATGATGGCAGCCATAGTATCATGAATGAAAAGTCTTCAGTCGATTCTATGCCTCCACCAAAGAAAGATTCTTTCCAAGTTAAATCTGGAATATGGGCAGATTCTCTGAGCCGAGGACTAATTGATCTTAACATAACTGCACGTAAGTTGCTTATTCTTAGCTAATCCGATTCTCTTTCTGTTGCATCGTTGATTTGCATGTTACTGCTGATGTTAAAATCTATCAGATTTTTGTAATACCCATCACTGCACGACCATGTTATCATTTTTATTTGAACTCTCATAGGGCAACTAACACCAGAGATGCATGCCAGTGCTTTAGAGTATGATATTAAACTCGTCTTGGTAAAAAATCATGTTATGTCATTGCACCAAAAAGAGAATTATACAAGCGATAAATTAGTTTGGCCGGCTGATCCACTGATGAAATTGTTACCCACTTCCACCAGTTCTGACTTCCTAGAGGAGTGTAGCCATAATATCTTTCTTGGAAAGAGACCCCCGTTGTCAGCCACGGTTTGTTTGATATCCATTCAGCAAGTGATGCTAGTGAACGTGTAGAAAAAAACTGTTGTAAAGTTTCATTGTTCGTTCCGTCATCAATCCAATCTATGTTTCTACGACAGCCCAAGAACATGCTCATTCTTCAGCCGTAGAGATCAAACTTACAGAAAAAGTGTATTAGATGGGGGGAGATTTTAGGTTTTAATTGACATTGCTGTCTGTTAATTGTCATTGATTGCCTATATATTGAAATCACATTGTGCATTTGAAACCTACTGGCAGCGAAGAAGGTAAATCTGGCAGATGTCGGTGTCGTGGGTGGTTTGACTGATGGATCAGATGAAAAGGATAAGGGACCTCTAGCCTCATTTTACATGGGCAGAGCCATGGGTGCAGGATCTGGACTTGGTAGATCTGGATCTGGGTTCACATCCACAGCAACAGGTGGAGATGACTTCTTCTCAAGCTTTAGTAGCCAACAATACCAATTTGGTAGCCTCAAGAAATAATTTGTTTCGCTTTCCCAATTTTTTCACCCATTTTTCTCTTGATATTCCTTGTGTATTTTCGAGTGATTGGTCTTGTGCATGTTGGTGTGTTCGTTCTTGTATACATGGAAAAGATCTGGTGTATCCAAGAGTGTCTTCGCTGCTGGTCGGGATATTTGAGAAGTTTTGTTGATGTACTAGTAATTACCTTTGTGATACCAAAAATCGAATATTGATCGTGCAACATATTTTAAATATCAATTCATTTTTGCTTCTCTTTTCTTTAATTATGTATAGTAAAAATTAAAATAGAGGAAAAATAAAAGAGAGGTAGGCGTGGATCTGGGAAGGTGTTTGACATTGGGAAGCGTTGTTTGAATTTTTTGACATTGTTGGTGGTCGTGCAAAGATGTTTTTGAGTGAAAAAAATAAATTTTGAATAAATTTTGTACTATTAAATTAAATTAGATGAAAATTGGTTAATTTTGACAGTCGTTATATATTTATAAGTTGAGAATTTTAATTTTTTACCTCTAATATTAGATAAATTTTCATACAATGGTGAAGCACCTCCAGATTATGAGAGTGGAAATACATTCAATATTGAAGCACCTCAAGAGCATTAAGGGTGGAAATTCATGAAGCCCTTTTTTCTGGATTTAGATCCTTATTCAATGCACTTTTCATCAAATTTTTTTAATAGTAAATCATCTTGGATTCTTCGCCAATGCATCCCCTCATGAACTTTCGATAAAATTGGAACATTATAGAGAAGATTAGTGTAACTTATGACAATCACAAACCGAGGAATGGTCATTCACCAATGCATGTATGATGAGTGAAGTGTCGTTTAAAAAATATAAAGAAAAATGTATTGAAATAGATTTTAATCCTAAATTTTGTATGCATTATTTTCTAGGAGAGGGAGAGAGAGAGAGAGAGAGAGAGAGAGAGAATGTATTGATATTGTTGTTGTCTATTTCCCCTTTCTGGCATAAATCAAATGCTGTGCCAATCATCATATAAGCTCTTTTATGTAAAAGCAACAATGTTCTAGGCGTCACTTACCTAAACAAAAAAACAATGTTCTAATGCATCAATTGCCCAAAAAAAACAATGTTCTATGACTTACCCAAACAAAAAAACAATGTTCTATGCATCACTTTCACTTTGTAAGTGAAATCTTCCAATTCAGAAGGGAGACAAGACTATGGTACTCAAAAATTTTTTTGGATCAAGTTATAATTTTATAATTTTTAATGTTTGAATTATAATTTTTTGGGGTGAAGTTACAACTTTGGTGGTAACTTGTGATCAATCCTTTTTGGTATTTCTCACATTACGAAATTAACAGCCAAGAGTTAGTATCAACCTCTACTGGCCCACTCAAATTGATTAATTGTGCACTCTAACCATTCAATTTGAACTGATTCCATTACAAATTGAACATGGGGGCAAACTGGATCAGTCTGCATCCCTCACCTTTGAACACAACAGTGTTTGATCAGAGAATAGCAGCAGTAGCATCAGCATCTCAACCAACCGGTGATTTATGTACATAAGAATATTTTTAAGTAAGTACATGACACATTAACAGAACCGCATATTTTTGGTAAGTTTATTATTATTGTCGATAGTAATTCAAAAGCGAGACGCAATGCCTAATATAAACTTCTTAAAACACATCCAGCATTCTCCCCCTTAACATTGCTTCTGCTTTCCTCACCTGCTGTACTGGTCCAATAATGAACACCTGCATGTAAAACCATGAGGTGTAAGGAACATATACAGGATCATGGTTTCCACATATGAATTGAGACTTTTACTTCACTTTCCAGTTGGTCTGAATGCATTGGCCAATTTTGCAATAGTACAATCACAAATTTTTCCAGTCCACCTCATCAAAAGGGTGGGTGGGCTGGCGGGATTCGTGAGCAGATTTTTTCCAGCTGAAATTCAGTTATGGCATGTATAAACACTAACTTTAATAAATTGTGGTGGCCAACTTTTGAACTACAAGGGCGTGTTATATAGCGTTACCAAGATCATTTTAAGAACCGTGATAATATCAATAATCATCCAGTCTTTGTAAATGCATCCAAAATGGTATGGTATACCTCAATTACAGGAACTTTGTGCTACGGGATTGACTCATCGATTGAGACATGAGATAATTAAACAGTAACTATCGAGAAATTCTGCACGTCTGGAAGACTAACCTTGTCAGCTGGACCCCTGGTGCCTCCAATGAAGACTTCAGCACTGCACAAATATGCTCAAGTCAAGAACAGGTGGGAAAAAAAAGTGGTGCTCCCCTATATAAGTTATACCATATATAGTGATAGAGAAACCTACTTGCAAGACTCCTTTATGGACAAGATGGAAGCCCCTCTTCTTCCAATAACACGTCCCATTTTCCCAGGCGGAACATCAAGAACACAGAGGATTTCTTCCTCAGGAGCATTCTCATCAGCAATGAGGTTATCTGAAATGGTAGAATGACCATTAATCAGTATTTATTCTAAGTACAATTTTTGCTGATGTTCCTATCATACAATCTAGCTTACAGCACATTTCTGCAGTTCAGCAAAATAGCAGTTGGCTACAGGTACCAAACAAAAATTTAAAATTCCTGTTGCTACTTGGGTACAGTGTTCAAGAAGCAGTGATAGCCACTCTTGGATGTAACAAAACCCCAGAGGAAATAATGTAAAGCAATCACATTTGTTCATGCAAATAAGTTGCTAGCAGATTGTGAGCTGAATCAAATAGTACTTTGAATGCAGTTTCAGCATCTCAGGATTGCTGAAGTACAATACCTCAACATGTGGCTTAGCACATTGAAGTGCTAAGCGACTAATATGATGAAATATACTCCATAGTGACTGCATCTTAGACTACATATGCAATATCATAAAAAACTATATACTTCCAATAATATTTTGTCGNTATACTCCATAGTGACTGCATCTTAGACTACATATGCAATATCATAAAAAACTATATACTTCCAATAATATTTTGTCGTCTTTTGAGCACAAAAAAAAGTTTTAAAGGGCGCATTTATTCTGATATCTCTAAGCTCTGCAATAGTTCGAATATGATGATGTTTATTTAGGTCCTGCGCGAGGCGCCTAATTGTTACACCCATTTCTGTATTTTTGGAAGTAGATGGCAATCTATATTCTGTAATAATAAGCACAATTTCACTGCTTGCCAAAACTTATAATAGGAAGTGTTTAAAAAACTTAATAAAATCAACATATGGTCACATGTCATTAGTGACATATTGCATCACTTGGTAAATATGTCAGATACACCTCTACTCTACTCAACAAAGCATTGACACAATTATTTAGAGCCCACCTCAATAATCTTGTTCGCAAACAAGCAAGCATTGTGAATAAGTTATGNCTTAATAAAATCAACATATCGTCACATGTCATTAGTGACATATTGCATCACTTGGTAAATATGTCAGATACACCTCTTCTCTACTCAACAAAGCATTGACACAATTATTTAGAGCCCACCTCAATAATCTTGTTCGCAAACAAGCAAGCATTGTGAATAAGTTATGGATATAATGATCATATGCATGCTTAAGTGGTCTTGAATCATTGCCTGTGTTTATGGAGGTACAATGGACAATATTTTGTTATGAAAAAAAAGGCACTTTTATGACGCAGCACCATGTCTAAGTGGTGCGCATGTGCATGTTAAGCATGCACCTGCACGTGCGCGTATGTTGTCCAAAGAACTAATTGTTGCTTATTTGGGGGAAAGAGCGGAAAACCTGGGATTGGAGGGAGAGACGGCCAATCTGCAAAAGCATTGTCATTTAGGCAGTAACATCGACAATACATTGCGCCACGGACAGCAAGATACCATAAAGATTGTTGATTCAATTTCGCAACCATTTTATGATAAATATAGAGAAGAAAGCGGACATCATCTGCAGCAGCACAAACCATCAGTTCAGAGAGTTGTCCATATGTCCAAAAGTTAGGGTCCTGGAAATGTAAATGAAGAGCTGATCAAAGACAACACCACAGATCCCTCCAAATGGGTATTGCTGATAACTAAAATTAAGAAATTACATCTATATTCACACACACACACACAAAAAAAAAGCACGATATGTACTGGTGAATATGTGTAATGCTGAATGATTAAACATTAAGGAAAAATCACAGAGGACCACCTTCATTCATTGGACAGATGCGTAAGGAGGTGATGAGCCATTCACTCAAATATAAGATGCGCATGGCAATAAAGTTCATCTATATTATGGAGTTTGCCTCAGGTATATTAACAGCCTTTATGAGAGAGGGAGGGGGAGACGGGCTGAAAATGCAGATCTGAGGTTTTATATATGGAAAAATAAATATATTAAAAAAATAGTACGTATAACCATCACATGAGATTGATCNGGAGACGGGCTGAAAATGCAGATCTGAGGTTTTATATTTGGAAAAATAAATATATTAAAAAAATAGTACGTATAACCATCACATGAGATTGATCCATTGAACTTCATCTAAAGCAAGGACAACCAACTTTTCCTTTTTACCAAAAGACCCAGAAGTCTGAACAGTGAGAAGCAGACCAGAGGAAGGATAACTTTTGTTTTTGATACAGTTAAGAAAAGCATTTTTTGCAATTAGGGAGGGGTGAGAGGTTTGAACACAATTTTGACTGTGGGAGGTAAGCCTTTGCCAACAGGTACGACCCTGTGCCACCCGGTTTCAGAATAGTTTATTAAGAAGACACTGAAACCAACCTGCCTCAGAAGTACACGAACTTCTTCCTTCTCGACATAAGATATACCTGCATTTAAATCTCAAAGTCAAAATCCAAGCAATATGGCTGATTGAATCTGATGTGGAAGCCCAATAATATAATAGTTAAAACACCTATGTCTAGTAAAAGCAACATCAATACAGAATATTTCTCCTTAACTAAAAGTACAATAACAAGGTGCCGCAATGGCGATAGCAACAGTGGTTCATACACAAGATTAACAAGAGAAGATTTCTTTAGTTAGAACACAACTAAATTACAGAACGATATGCAGGATTCCAGCTCCAAATCATATCCACACAACAATAGGCGATAAATACATGTCAACAAAAATACCACATCCTCTAGGATTAGAGAAATGGTAGAATGGTAAAAATATTACAAAAGGGAGCACAAGATCCAGGAATATATCCTTTTGCTAAGTTATGGACAGGCACACTACACATTCTGTTGAGACAGATGCATGCATCGCCCTGAGCTTGTAGATGACCAACTGTATCATGTTCCATAATGTAAAAAGAAAATTGAAAGGAAAAAAATTCAAAAATGGAATAGCCAATAAGATTTGGTCGGATTCATATTGCAACATATAATTTCACTCTGCACATTATTTTTCTAGCTCCCCATCTACCCAACTAAATCAGATGCACACGAGTTAGTCCGGAAAATGCAAATAAAAACCACTGAAACTACAATAATGACACATGCCAAGCAAGCACTCTTGATAAAAATATTCATTAAACTGCAAAAGGTTCCAGGATCAGAAACAGACAAATCAACACCAAAAAAGACCAAGTACCACAATAGCGTGGATCTGCAAGGAGGCCAACAAATGATATGTAGTCAGCTAGCACTCTTGTCCGTCCTTCTTGCTCCTCAATTAAAAAATAAGCAATCTGCATGTGGAGAAACTGTCAATCATAAATGGTTAAAGAATAGTCCCATTGCATATACCCGTCCAAACATAATCTCTTCGAAGTCAAGAACATTCATCAATTTGAGGTAACTAACGTCAAGCTTATATTAAAAGTGATCACAAAACTGCATGCTTGTATAAGAAGAAAAACTAGCCCATTATTAAAGAAGCTTCCAAAGAGATTATGCACAGCAAATGCTCAAGTGCTATTTGCGCCCAAAAAAAGCAGTGAAGAACAAGATAATGGCTTACAAATGTGCAGCGAGCTAACAAAAGGGATCTACGCCTAGTCAATTAAATAGACCCGTTGTTCAAAGAAAGTAGACTGTTAATGTTGGCAAAGCAAATAAGTAAATCGTGAATATCAATAACAAGAAGTAAACAGAAAACCTGATAACCTCTAGGATGTGTTTTCAATCAGATATCCAAACCTCAATCCCCCTCCAGAAAACCACCGTCCAGAAAAAACACATATCTCCTTTTTGTACTGGTCATCATATTTTTGCAATACAGTATGACAGACTACTAGAAAGCTTCCACAAGAAATACTACAGCACAGGTAAAAAGGAGAATGAAAAAAGAGAAGAAACAAGATGGCCAGCAATGCTAGCCATAAACTTGAAAAAGTGAAGACGCTCACCTGGATATCCACAACATTGTGCAACTTAATCCCGAATTGAAAGTACAACGCCTGCAAGATAAAAACAGGTTCAAAAACATCAAACATAAAACATTCATTCAAATATCCTGAGGTCCACAAGCAGAAGAAATCTATAAGAGACCTCACTATCTCGTTTGCAATCATGAATAACTTTAGTGATGTAACTGGACTCAAGTGCAGGCTTACAGGCTTTCATAAGCATCTCTCCACCCTGAATAGCATCAACCAAATATATAGCATCTGAAAAGGCCAGCTGCAAAACAAGCAAACCATATTTCAACCGCCAAGTTTAACTCTCATCATGCAAATCCATTGATGATACACGTATGAAGTCCTAAATAAAAGCCATAGGTAGAAGAGTTAAAAGGTCAAAAAGAAAATTACAGCATATTGTTGGACTCCGAGATCAATAGATCTTGGCAATGTGCATAATATCTACATTCAGTTACCACTATACTACTTCTAGATTCACGACTACATATACACCAATTGTATAGCGATGCTTACATCATGNCTCATCATGCAAATCCATTGATGATACACGTATGAAGTCCTAAATAAAAGCCATAGATAGAAGAGTTAAAAGGTCAAAAAGAAAATTACAGCATATTGTTGGACTCCGAGATCAATAGATCTTGGCAATGTGCATAATATCTACATTCAGTTACCACTATACTACTTCTAGATTCACGACTACATATACACCAATTGTATAGCGATGCTTACATCATGAAACCATGAAATCTCAAACTAAATAGGTAAGCTACCGTCTTGCAATCAGTCTACTTAGGCCCATATTCATTTGTAATGCTTTTACGCACATCTTATTAGTTTTCGACAGTAGATAAAATACACGTCTGGTCATAGGAAATGGTATTCCACATAAAAGTGTGGTAAAATTAAAAAAAACCAATCCCATGACACAAAGGAGAAATTTAAAACTGTAGTGTACAATTCAGTTATCTAGCCTAAAATGGTAACCNCCACATAAAAGTGTGGTAAAATTAAAAAAAACCAATCCCATGACACAGAGGAGAAATTTAAAACTGTAGTGTACAATTCAGTTATCTAGCCTAAAATGGTAACCCAAAAAAAAAAAATCACCTGCATGATACAAAGAGTTCCATTACGACAAAGATCAACACCCTCACAGTCAAAACCAATCACCAATTGCCTCTCAGGAGATGGCTCCAAGAATTCACTTGGAAGCTGACCCGCATGTGTGACAATATAAATAGGAACTGGAGACAAGTGAGCTTCATGAGTGAGATTATTTTCACCTACAAAAAGCAGTAAATTACCTTAGAGGTAAGGCTTTGCAATGCCATCTTCTGGATAACAAACTGAAAACCCATGANGATTATTTTCACCTACAAAAAGCAGTAAATTACCTTTTAAAAATGTAGATTGGAAGTTAAAATGCCCAACTTAGAGGTAAGGCTTTGCAATGCCATCTTCTGGATAACAAACTGAAAACCCATGAGCACAATTCACATACCACCTTCAGGTCCATGTTTAGCCGAAGATGTTAACCACCCCAAAGTTTTTAGTATTTCCAGTTNGAGCACAATTCACATACCACCTTCAGGTCCATGTTTAGCCGAAGATGTTAACCCCCCCAAAGTTTTTAGTATTTCCAGTTTCATTTGGTTTTTAATAGTGGTATTACTAAACGGGGTGCATTAGTCGGAACAATTCTCAGAATCAGATCTAAGACACAGGCATCTAGCAAGTGGGAATGGTGCAGACCTCAAACTAATGGAGTGCACAGGAAACTAATTACAAATGGACAGGAAAAAAAAAAGAAGAGGACAGAAAATGAGGGAAAAGGACAATATAATTCCAAAGCATCACATTCCATAAAATTTCCTAGCTCTGCATCCTCCTTAGTTACTCGTTCTCACCAACTATATTAACTTTAACAAGAATAAAAAATGTTACGTTTTGTGTTCTGCTGAGCAGGTGAGTACAAGAGCAGATTTTAGATGCTAAAGTGTGGTGTAACTGGATGTGCAGTGCAAACTAAATCAGCCCACTTAACATGTAAAATGACAGTCTAATATAAAGTGTAAGGGATTTATCCGCGCATTCGGGATGTCCACCCTCCACAAAAGGATTTTGGCTGACCTGGTGTAAGCCTGAGCTTTGTGCCAGCCTTTACCTCTCTTCGGCCCGCAGGAGCGCATTTGTCCCACATCGGAAGAGAGTCGTCTCTCCCACTGCCATATAAGCCTGGACTTCATATGGAGGAGGTGGCTAGTGGGTACCTCCTCCATATGTAGTCCAGGCATATATGGCAGGGGGTGACAACTCTTTTTCGATGTGGGACAAGCGCACTCCTGCGGGCCGAAGAGGGTAAAGGCTACTGGCACAAAGCTCAGGTTTGCGTAAGGTCAGCCAAAATCCTCATGTAGAGGGAAAATATTCCGAACGTGCGGATAAATCCTTTACATAAAGATATATCCATAATTAACTCGTTAATCTCACACGATGCCCATATTCAGAAACAATTGAAACACTCTAATTCATCAAATCAGAAGGCATATGATCCATAATTTTCCAAAACCCAACTCAAAATAAGCAAAACCCAGGAATTAATTGTTGATCATACCTAACTAAACATTGTATATTAAATCATAGTTAAACGATACATTTTTACAGGACAAAAAATAAACGAAGAGCAAAAGAATTACATGGGCCAGGAGGCAGAGGGATGTGGGTTTGATGAGGACGAGAGGGCATTTGATCAGACCACCCAAGCAGATCAAATTGTACCTCTGAACTAGCGGGTGCTTATATAGGTATGTGGTGTTTAATTTATAATTTTAAAAGATGAAATTGTAATTAATTGAATTTATTCATATTTGAAAGCAAATATTGGTATTTATCATAGAATGTAATTGATCAAACACGAATAACTAATGTACCTTGATCTTTAAAAATTATAATTTATGTGATCCATCGTAACTTTTTGGGTTACCATTTGACCCTCAAAAATTGTAACTTGACTTTTTAAGTATCTTATTTTTCGATTAGGTACCTTCTCCTGTATCGTAGATTTATCCTATGTTTTATCGTCAATTGTCTCCGTGCCTGTCTGGATGTTAAGTTTTTTAGGAACTTTATAATTTATATTAATAAATAACACAATTTCAACTAATAAATAATTTAGTGATTGTGTATGCATTAATATGACGTGATATTATCGCCTAATTATGAAATATCAAATATGTACCTCACACATCTTAGCGTTAAATTTTTTATTCAAAGTTTATGTAAGTCAACACGAATATGAACACGAAAACGACATGAAAATAAACAGGTCAACTCGACATGACACAAATAGTTAAATGAGTTGGATATGAGTTGACTAATGTTCGACACGATACGAACCTGACACAATACGACTCGATTGTCACCTCTAACGGGCACAGTTGACTAATTGTCACATTACTCTTAATTTGGTTTTTTTTTTTTTGGGTACGTAAGTCACATAACTGGTAATAAAAAACACATTAAGTGGGTCAATTCCATCCAAAAAATTGAAAAAGAAAAACTCTTAAAAAAATGACTTACTTTTGGAAAAATATTTCAAAACGATTTAGAGTCTCAATTATTCAACGTATCTATCGTGACAACTAGCAAAGTAACAAATAGACGTCAATGTAATAATTAACAATTAACTGAATAATTAATTTTAAAAAAAAATCCACAAAGTTGGTCAGTCTCTTTAATAAAGTGAAAATAAATATGTTTAAAAAATTACTTTCTCGTGGAAAGAATAGTTCAAAGGAGACTTGTGTAGTCTCTAATTGTCCTATGTACAAACCTTGATAGCAACAAATACACGCCAGTATTACAATTAAAAAATTTCAGATTTTCTCTCTGCCCATGTGCTCGTCTAATTGATAGAAATGTCAATAGTGGTGGTTGCCCACCAAATTTTTTTTTTTTTTTTAAGTCACTATTTCATAGTCTTACGGGTTGAGGTGGCCATTAAGTCAATCGTTGATTTTCGTTCAATGAGGACCTTAGGTTATATATTTTATAGTATCTTATTAGTGTCAATTATAGAGTGTTGAACGTGAATAAAAAATTATATACATGACAAGGAACCGATCTCTTTGATTGAAGGATTGATTCGAAGAGCTAAAAGCAAGAAAAAAAAATGCCTGAGAATCAATGACGATCGATCTATAGCTGAAAAGGATCGATATACAAGATGGATAAAAAGTGGACACAACAATTAGAAAGATTGATTCAAGAATTCTAAGGATCAATCCCATGCTGCAAAAGGAGACTAGGGATTTATATGGATCAATCCCTTCTTGAAGTTATTAAAACAGAAAGTTTTAAGGGATCGATCCATACCTTTTATGGATCAACCTCTACATGCACAAATTAGAGATCAAGTGAGGGATCGGTCCTTACTTCTTAAAGATTGGTGCAAGGAAAATATTTTGGTTAACTTCAGAGTTTTCTTTCATCTCTCTTTCGTCCCAACTTGTAACTCTAGTATCCTATTAATAGAGAGTATTCTGATTCCTAGCCAAGCAATCTTCTAACCTAGAATTATATTTTTTTTTATCATAATTCTTGGAGATTTAGTCATCAATTATGAGTATTTTTTGGGCAAATAACAGTTTGCACCCCAAAAGATTAAAAAATTCTCAATTTTTATCTTCAAAGATCAATTATTTTAAATTGCACCCTCAATGATATTAATTGATAGTAATATGAACCCCAATCATATTGTCCGTTGCAATTTTCGTTAAATTGAAAGTTTATGTGACATGCACATGATAAATTTTATTGGGTTATGACCCTTCCCTTTAACGTTAATGTCAAATTGACGGAAATCGCAACAAAGGTTATGACTGGGGTAACATTATTAAGTTTGTAATTTGAAACACTTTATCTTTGAGGATGCAAATTGAAAATTCCATAATTTTTTGGGGTGCAAAACTACCATTTGCCCTAGTTTTTTTTGTACTTTTTAGTTAGGGTTGGCGTAATTGTAATTATTTGTTCGAATCTTTATGTTTATACAATTTTTATTCTGATCTCAATTTTAAAATTTTCATTTATTCAATTGATTGAATGTTTTTGGAAAAATTTGGTACTTTGTACAATTTTTTGATTATTCATCAATGGGATTGGTTTCTTGGCATGCATAATGCTTATAATTCTCTACAAGTATTTTAATTAATTCTTCAAAATTTATTTTCAATTCAATCAAATTAATTGTTCAGTCAATATATATATATATGTTCATTGATAAAAAAATATATTTTGATAATAATCATTCAATTCATCATTTCATTAATTCTAATAATTCACATCATGATATCATCGAATAAAAAATCTAATATCACATAAATACACATTCAACATATACATTTAACTCATCTCTTTAAAACTATAAAAATAACTTCTTTAATTATAAAGTTATTTGACTAGTTTTCAAAATTTTGAAAAAAGATCTCAAAACGAGTCACCGAGCATGTTGGTCGCAAGTCCCTAACGTGTCCAAAACGTCTCTGAAAGCAAAATTAACAATAAAAAGTCGAATACTCATTTTAGTGTGTCTGACATGTGTCCGAAGCATATCCATGTCTCAAACGTTTTCGACATCGCCAAAATAAAGTGTATGTGCTTCCTAACTCAAGACTAAAGAATGTAAGGTATCTAGGCTAGAAGAACAAGGTTTTTAAAATCGAGATCCTGTCTTGAATCGATGAGAGTGGCTAAAAATCAAGATTATAGGATCATATTGAAAATCATAAGATTCTATTGATTGGAGAAATAAGACAATAAAATATGTAACAATATAGAATTCTCAAAAACAAGAATTATATACATGCAAATAGAAATATTATGGCAACAAACATTAACTTAGAGATATGATTGAATTTTGATAAACTACAATTTGAACATTAAAGATCAAAAGTGGACAGTTAATCTTGTAGGATTTTACGAACAGGAATAGGAGAATTAAAATATTTTGATCTTAACTATAAGAAAGAGACATATGTAGTGGCAAGATTGAGAAGTTGAAATGTTACTGAATAATAACTTTTCTTGTTCGAGATCCAAAAAATAAAAGAAGAAAAAAATAAATATAAAATAGTAGCTTTCAACTATCATAGAAGATCAAATCTAATCGTTTCTTTCAACTTTTTAACGAGAGAGATGGACGAATAAAAAGACTATTTTTATAAACGAAACAAATTTTCTGTAACTTTTCTCATGTATTGAAATCTCTCAATAGTAATAATTATATGAGACATTCACATTTGGATTAAGTTTGTAACTGTTAAAATAATAAATATGAATAAAAAAAGCTATTCGAAATAATGTGGGTAGATAAGTTAAAAATTATTGGAGTCTTGAAAACTTGTGCCCCCCCCATGCCTTGGGAAAGTCTTGTTTTATAGCAAGGCTTCTTGCAAAAAAAGACAAGATTTTTTATGTCTATCTTATCTCCAAATTTTCTTCTTTTTAATTTTCCATAACAACCTTGTACTTGTTTAGTACATGGTTGTCAAAAATCTTTATGTATAGTTATTTTCTTAATAACCATAGTTTGACATTTGCTTGTCATTTTAAGATAAGAATACTCCAACTTCGAATTACTAATTCCTCC